ACACACACACACACACACACACACACACACACACACACACACAGAGCTTTCTCCATCATCTCCATCTGGATATTGCCTTCTTCTTTCTTGGTGGATGGAATAAATTTTGTTAGACTCAACTCTGAGCTCTCAACTCTCTTACCACATTAGCATCAGCAGGGGACCCAGCGTGCTGTGTGTGAGCCCTAGAGCAGTTCTTTCTCATCTCGGCTTCAGTCACCGTGTTGAGATGGGGGTGAGTGTGGAGAGGATCCCGGGGTGGAGTAAGAAGAGCAAGACCTGAGAAGGGGATCAGGCTCAGGGGGTGCCATCATCAATGCTGGTTTCCTCACTAGGAGAACAGCATGACCAATGCCGCCAAGAACCATTGGATTTGAATTCACTCAGACACCGGGGATTCGAATTCACCCAGAGATACTTCTGAACAGAGAGGCCTAGCAGTTCATTTCTGAGAACCCAGCCATCAGAGCTCCTGTGGAGCACGTGGGGCACCATGCGCGAGGTCCACGCAACAGCAAGGGGTCTGATGTCCCCTGCTTCGCTGGAGAGCATTCCCTGGATAAGGACATCATGCGTGCTGAAGTAGGGGGAAGTGAAAAAGAGGAAGACCCTCAGAAAGATGGACTGGCACGGTGGCTCAAACACCAGAACAGCTGTGAGGATGGCACAGGACCGGCAGTGCTCCCACCTGTTGCAGGCGGTACAGCCATGCGTGAAGGTCGACTCAGTGACAGCTGGTTTTATGCCACTTATTTCGCTGTCACTGGGGATGTAGTGTCAAGAAGACTGTACACAAAATAACCCTCAATTATGAAAGGAAGGCCTGATCAGTTTTAATAACTCTTACCATTATCTACACTGAAATCTCTGCCAACAGGATATAATGTATCTGGTTATAATGGCCTCTATAAAAACCAAAAGGAGGAGGGGGATAGATGATTCATTTCTTTAGGTTTATCAGCAGAACTGCTCGCCCAATTTCTAAGCCAGTGTGAGATGACCCACCTGCCTCTTTATCTAGCAAGATGATGAGGTCATCGGATTTTCCCCCCCACTTAGCTACCCATTCTCTGGACAGCAAACTGCCCTGCCCACAACTCTTGGCAGGTGGTGATTCTGCCACCGCCGATCGACCTTACTTCATCTTTCTTAGAGCTAGAGGTCTATCTAGTTCACAGCCGGAGACTGGCTCGTTTGGCAAATTCGTTTGAGCATCAGCTAGTGGATGATTGTAAGGTCTAGAGATACAGAGGGGCTTGGGAACTTCCTGAGAGCCCTTGTAGGGCAGTGCACAAAATGGATGAAACGCCCTGCCCTTGTGGAGCTTACTTCCTAGTAAGGAGAGACTGGAAATAAAAGCAGAAAGGAGGAAACCCACATACCCGGAGGGAACTAGC